TACGTTAGATATATTAAATAATACATTTATTTTTTTACTGGTAAATATTCCATAAAGTAGTCAAAGTACTTAAATAATTAAACATATTGGTATTTTTTGCTCTCCGTGTGTATTGTCCCTCTCAGGCTTCCGTCGGGCGATTCTTCATTGTTGACATTTTTCCCCCATCAGCTGACAGCTCACTCGTTAGCTTTAGCTTCATTCGGATTATTATCAACACTTTTAGCACAACAACACCTCAGAATGACGTCATCCTCCCGACAGTCAGCTGTCAGGAAACACAGAGTGTTCATTATGCTGTAGAGAGAGAAGCTAACAGGCTAACAGGCTAACATGGAGGGGGTGCTCTACAAATGGACCAACTACATGACAGGTGAGTGTGTGTGTGTGTGTGTGTGTCTGTGTGTGTGTCTGTCTGTCTGTCTGTCCAATCACAACAGAGCCGGCCAGCTAACCAATCAGAGCAGCCTGGGCTCTGGTTTCAGACAGAGTGTGAAAAGAGGCAGAATGAGTGGGTGTCCCACAGTGTTGATGTATTACATGTCTGATATATGTATTATGTATGTAAAGCGTTTGAGCACATGTAAAAGCACTAAAATAAATGTAATGAATTATTATTTATTATGAAATACACCTGAACATCAGCTCTCTAGGACTCAGCGATAGCATCCAGCATTAATGCACATCTCAGATATCTAGTGCATCAATGTGATGTGTCTCTTCCCAGTCTTTGAACTCTGTAAACATCGATACTGTACGAGAAACATGTCACACTTCACATACTGTACGAGGGGTTCCCTGTTGTTGTTGCTTTGCACGTATTACCCCCCACAGAGACACAGGTCTCAGGTGTGTTTGTCCTCAGGATGGCAGCCGCGTTGGTTCGTGCTTCAGAATGGGTTCATCTCGTACTACGACAGTGAGGACGACGTTGGAAAAGGAAGCAAAGGATCCATCAAGATGTCCGTGTGTGAGATTAAAGGTGAGGCCGCTGTGCTTCCTCTAAATGAATCTGAACTGTCAGCAACTTGACAGATTTGTCTTTAGTGTTTACTTCCTGTCTGTCTTCTTCTGCTGTTCCCTTTAGTGTTTACTTCCTGTCTGTCTTCTTCGGTTGTTCCCTTTAGTGTTTACTTCCTGTCTTCTTCTGCTGTTCCCTTTAGTGTTTACTTCCTGTCTGTCTTCTTCTGTTGTTCCCTTTAGTGTTTACTTCCTGTCTTCTTGTGCTGTTCCCTTTAGTGTTTACTTCCTGTCTGTCTTCTTCTGTTATTCCCTTTAGTGTTTACTTCCTGTCTGTCTTCTTCTGCTGTTCCCGTTAGTGTTTACTTCCTGTCTGTCTTCTTCTGCTGTTCCCTTTAGTGTTACCTCCTGTCTTCTTCGGTTGTTCCCCTTTAGTGTTTACTTCCTGTCTGTCTTCTTCTGTTGTTCCCTTTAGTGTTTACTCCCTCTCTGTCTTCTTCTGTTGTTCCCTTTAGTGTTTACTTCCTGTCTGTCTTCTTCTGTTGTTCCCTTTAGTGTTTACTTCCTCTCTGTCTTCTTCTGTTGTTCCATTTAGTGTGTACTTCCTCTCTGTCTTCTTCTGTTGTTCCCGTTAGTGTTTACTTCCTGCCCGTCTTCTTCTGTTGTTCCATTTAGTGTGTACTTCCTCTCTGTCTTCTTCTGTTGTTCCCGTTAGTGTTTACTTCCTGTCTGTCTTCTTCTGCTGTTCCCTTTAGTGTTTACTTCCTCTCTGCCTTTTTCTTTTGTTCCCTTAAAAAAAAAAAAAAAGATCAACTCCTCGTAAGATCTTAGCAGAAACAAACCCCAACCTTTGTGGTTGAGCTTCTTTCAAGTCTTTTAGTGCTCCTTCAGCCTGGACCCTACTGATGAAGCACATGAGGGATATATTTATAGAGTGTTTGAAATGAAAGAGCTGTTCCTCTGATGATCAAACAGTTTGAATATAACGTCTCCCGCCATGTCTCCACCCTTCAGAGTGACCTCCGTCCGGACAGGAAGCCGCGCGCCGTCCGTCCGTCCGGTCGTCTCTGCACCGAGCTGCACAAACACCTGACCACCGCTCGAGACACTGAGGAGGACAAGGAGGAAGAGGAGGAGGATGAAGAGGAAGAGGACAGTGAGTCAGAGGAGGAGGATGAAGATGAAGAGGAGGAGTCTTCCAGCAGCGAAGTGGAGGGAGGAGTCGTCTTTGTTCCTCCTCCAAAGTCTCAGTTCAGCTCAGAGAAGGAGCTGCGCTCGGTGGTGGATCTGATCACCTACATGCACACCTACTGCCTGCCCATCCGCAAGCAGCAGGCCTGGGATCAAAGGAAGGAGGCGCCGAGGCCGAGGGCCCGAAACGAGACCCCCCGCCCCCCCACTAACACCCACAGCAGGGTGGTACTGGTGTCCGCGCCGGGCACTGGGAGCAACAGCGCCCCCCGCAGGATGCCCTTTGCAAGGTTAGTCAAATCAAACAGAAATCTGTTATTGAGTTGTGAACCCGGAGACGTTGAGAAGAAGTGTTATGTTAGAAATGTAGAGTGCAGGTTTCCAGCACAATAAACTTCTGGATGCTAACCTGTACATTGCACAATTAGCATAAATTGCATTTGCAGACAATAGTTAATAGGTTTTGGAGGTTATTGAGGATGCTGAGTCCATTGTCCGATATCTTTACTGTAGCAACGCAATGTCCGCTCTGTGGGACGAATGAAGGAATTCTGATCCGGATTCTGTTTCTTATTCTGCTCCTGAAAGTTGACATATTTGTACTCCTGGTGGACTGATTTTGCTGCATTTTGGGTCGTTTTAAAGTGTTAGAGGACTCAAAACTACAATTTTGGACGCTAATAATGTCAGAATTTGATACCACTTCCTCAATATACCTCAAAACCCACACCAACATTGTCCATTCTCAATATCTTACTGTAACAACTTATTCGAGGGACTGCGGATGGAAATTAGCTCAAAGCTAAATCTGGCACTGTTAGGCTTGACACATTTGAATGTTTTAAGTGTTCATTACTGTGCATTGTCCCTGCCAAATAAACGATGAATAATAATAATTCTGTTTCTGATTCTTATTCTGTTTCTTGTCCTTCAGGCGGCGGGAGATGAAGGCCAACTCTCTCCTCCGAGACCTCCTGCAGCAAAGCAGCTCGTACGACGTGAGCAAGCCTTACGGACTGCAAACCCCCCCCTACGTTCACTCCCCCAGCAGAGTCTCACACCCACATAAATCTTCCTCCCCCCCCTCCACTATAAATAAACTGGAGCTCCGTAAAGACTCCCAGCAGAGGCGGCCTCAGAGCCCGGAGGATTTGGAGGATTTTGTGGATTTTGCGGAGGGCGGCGGCTCTTTTTCGGTTCGTCGCTCCCGTCGACTCGCCTCTTTCCCGAGTCGCTTCGGCAAGAGGCTTCGGCCAGGAAAGGAGAGGGAAGGAGTCATGGGGAGGAAGGAAAGGGAAGAAAGGGAGGAGGCGAGAGCGGGAGTCAAAGTGCTGCCGACACAAACGGGAGCAACGACGACGCCGACGGAAAAGCTGACGGCCAGAGAACTAGAGAACAAACACTGCTGCCACAACGGTGAGGTTTACATTACATTACATTACATTACATTTAGCTGACGCTTTTATCCAAAGCAACTTACAATAAGTGCATTCGACCAAGAACATACAACCTTGAAGAAAACAGAATCATATAAGTACATCAGGTTTCATAGAGCCAAAAATGTCAAGTGCTACTCAACTGGCTTTAGATAAGCCAGTCCTTTATTAGTATATAAATGCTTTGTTAGTAATTCTATCGCTCGAAGTGGAGTCTAAAGAGATGAGTTTTCAGTCTGCGCCGGAAGATGTGTAAGCTTTCTGCTGTCCTGATTTCAATGGGGAGCTCATTCCACCATTTTGGAGCCAGGATA